GCTCCTCCTTGTGTGGCGTAGCTGTGTGTGTGATGTGTGGGTGGGTGGGGGGGGTGTGTGGTTGCGTGTTCGTGTGTGTGTGTGTGTGCGTGTGTGTGTGATGTGATGTGGGGTCTGTGGTCTGTGTGTGCTGTGTAGTGTTAGTGCTGTGTCGTGTGTGTGTGTCGTGTGCTGTGTTGTGTGGGTCGTAATTGTGTTGCCTTGGTGTTGTCCGTGTGTGTGTGTGTGTGTGTGTGTGTGGTGTGCTGTGTGGGGGGGGGCTCGTGTGTGTTGATGTGGTGTCGTGTGTGTGTGTGTGTGTGTGTGTGTGTATGTGTATGTGTGTGTGCGTGTGTGTGTGGGCGTGTGCGTGTGTGCGTGTATGTGTGTGTAGTATGAGCACGTGCGTTCGTTGCGTTTGCACGACTCTCTCATCCTCCCATCACACATTCTCACACACATCTCTCGCTCTCCCTCTATCTGTGTCTCTCTGTCTCTCGGTCTCTCTGTCTCTCTTTCTGTCTGTCTCTCTGTCTGTCTGTCTCTCTCTTTCTCTCTCGTACTATCTCTATATCACCTGCTTAAGAAAGTCAACACGTACGGCTCTAAATCCTTTCCCTTCAGTTTGTAAACCATTCGTCTTGTATCAGATGTAATCTGTTGTGTTTATCTATTGCGAGTACAAGTCTCATTCTGTGTGCGTGTGACTCTTTGTCTTTTTACTTCCCTTCCCCCTCTCCCCCTCTCTGTACCGCTCTCGCTCCTCTCGTCTCTCTCTCTCTCCTTTTCTCGTTTTGCCTCGCGCTTGCTCCCCTTTCCACTCTTTATATCCAGGAATAATTGAAATGATAGCATTATTAATAATCTTGTTAGGAAGTCTTTTTTATTTATATAGGTTATGGTGACAATCGCAAACATAGTATATCATAGTATCATAGGTGAACATTTAACATTCGAATCCTAAGATAAAAATTAAACTTTTGAATTTTCAGGTTCTAACATTGACTGGGCACATCACGATGGTCAAGCGTACATGGCCACCCAAGAGGTACTTGTCCTTGATGACGCGGTGCAGGTTGCCATGGATATGACCAACCCATCCGATACGTTGTTGGTTGTGACTGCTGATCATTCCCACGTCATGACTGTCGCTGGCTACCCGAAGCGAGGAAATCCCATGTTTGGTAAGCAACACGCGATTATAACCACATGTCGTTTGTATGTGTTTTTTTTGGCGTAGAGTCACGTCACACAAACGAGCTCGCACGCATGCGTACGAAAAATTATTTCCCGCTTCTGCTCACGATCATAGCTCACGCATAGAAATAGATATATCTACCTATGTAGTATTCATAATAATATTATGTCAAAGTTGTCACTGTTCTCTAAAGCAAACGTACGCCACCGCGCCACTGGCCGCCATCTTGAAACCACTGCCAAAAATTGAATTCTGCCGGTGTGCGCCCCGTAACATTTCAAATGGAATATGACGAAATGCAGCTTATTTATCATGCCCGTTCATGTGAAAACGAGAGAGCCTCCGTGGCCCAGTGCTCTCAACATTGGAGACTGTGAATCTCCCGTGGCTCGGAAGACTACGTAAAATGGCGGTCCCGTCTCCAGTAATACTAAGACCAATGGGGACGTAAAAGAACCACTGAGGGCGCAAAAAAAACTCTGGCTGTGACCACCCTCAGTGCCTTTCGGCTAAAAAAACTAAACTACCTGGCTCTACCCAAGCTAGGTCACACCCCATGGCTAGCTATAGCCCAGGCTGCGGCAATCAAGCAACAAGATTTCTCTGCGGCCGTCTCAGCTAAGCTGTGCCGTCGATCAACAGGACTTCTTGCCAAGGGACGCTATCCTGCGCCATATAGCCTCGTCATCGTAGGCGTAGCCTCGCAGTTTAATATATAGTATATATATATAATCTATATATATATATAATTCTGGGTGGTAATGCCCGTGTTCGGGTGCTCCAATAGGCAATATTTATATTATAATTCATGTGAAACACACAACCTTTGAATAAATAACAGCAACAAGAATTATCGGAAGAAGACAATCCAAAGAATACTAGATACTATACACATACGAGGTATGTGTAACAGATAATAGCGGTTAAACTTCGGTGCTACAGTCTGCCGGCTCATTCTACTGATAATACTACTGGGAGCGATGGTTACGACTCTGATGGCATACGCTAGTTGCCGGCTAAGACAGCTTATCCAATCTAGCAGTATATGGCAGGCACAATAATAGAAGCTCTTTGCCAATTGTTTCCCCATGTGTACACTATATTTTGACTCTAGAAAGACTTTTTCCGAATTTTTAACAGTCAATATTCGGCTCAGCGGAGCAGCAAATTTGACGTCAGGCACTCAAGGTTAAGATGCCTCATTGACTGTCTAAGAGAGCAGTAAGGCGAATGTGAGCTTGGC